CGTCTCTGCATGAGGGATCACATGGTCGACAGTGTCGACGCGGATAAGATCTAACATGCCAAAATGGATGACTTTAAGCCCAGTGTTGAAGTCGAATGTCGTTTGTTACTTCATAGAGCGGTTCAGAGTGTGGTGGGGTCTAAAACCCAGATGGAAATATCAACAAGAATTATTATTGTTAAAATTAAGGAAAGTTGTTGGAGGCCACTTTTTCAAGACTTATTCCAAATAAAGGCTGATGCGATATGGGCCGCTGTTTTAATTTTGATGTCCGCAGGATCCAGATGTCTTTTAAGGAGAGGTTTATGCCTGCTGTTTTATAGGGCAACGGAAATTTTTGCCGACAGAGACATGTTTACTCTTTGTGACAAGAGAAGGTACACAAAATGTCAGGCAGGCACTTAGAAATTTAGAGGGCAAAAGATCCCGGTAATGGGGAGGAAGCTCAGATCAAGATTAATCTTTTTGGGACAGTTTAGAATCCACAGGTGCCATGAGAGTCGTCAGAAAGCTTCTCTGGTGTTGATTGTTTACGTGTGTGGAGGTGCTAGAGTTTTTGATTCCTTGTACTTTGTCATCGAAAAACTGTGCGAACTCAATAAACCTGATTTAGAGGAACATTTAGGGGCACTCCCCCCCCTTACAGGGGGGTTCGTTAATCTTACCAATGTTGGAAACCACACAGAAACTTGTACCTGCAACTCCACTCTGTCAGAAAAATACAATTTCGTTTTGATTCTTACGTAGAACGGTTAAATTCACAATCATTTAGATTTATAATGCCCTGGAAATTGGATTGACTGTTCGGCTCGGCACTCTTGTTCTGTTCCTAAACGAGTTGCCTTATTATGGGCCTTTTTTTCTTACTGGTATATTTTAACCGTCAAGGAGACTGGCCGTCAGACAGTCGAAATGGTGGTGACCAGGCGTTATTCACTTCATCAACAGTCAGCGCAGGGATTTTTCTCAAACTTTCGCATCCCATGAACAGTTATGTGTTTTTATGTATGTGGTTTTTTAACAGTAGTAAATTAGCGGTGGATTGCTTGAAAACACATGTCAAAAAATACACAGAAATGCTTGACCCAAGCCACATAAACCATTACATTTGATCATTAACTTTGTAATTAGCCGGTCATGAGTGAGCCGGATGTGGGTGGGGCCTCACGGTGTGAAGAACCAAAGGTCACCCAAATACAGAGCCAGCTCTTTGCATTTTGTATCTACTTATCCACATGTACATTAAAATATGTATCTACAACTATCAAAATTGTGACACGAATAGAAAGTCAGTTCCAGTAAAAAATGGTCCTACATCGCACCATGCTGTGGTTGCACGTTAAGGAATGACACGAGTAGACGATTGCTTTTGATCCATTTTAAAAGAAATTATTAAAGAAGAAACTTCAAGGGCTTCTGATGGGTGACAAAGTTGCTCCCTAAACAATGAGCTATGCTCCCCTTAAGTTTTCTCGTATTACGGATACGCATTAAAAATTGGGTGGTGTTGTTCTATTAGACTGCATTTCTGTATTTTGGGTCAGCCATGTTCAGCATAGGATAACATAAGAAATCAGAAGTGATAACATTATTAATCTAAAATGATTTGTTAAATTGACTCTGACTTCGTTAGCCCAGTTTAAAATAACGGTCGAGTCGATTAATGTGGTGATTGATTTTACAGGAACCAGAACTTAGAATTTGCAGGGTTGGACGTTAATGTGTCCTGTTTTGATTTGTTTTTTAGAATATAACAAACCATTTTTGAGTGGTGCGAGGAAACATCACAGTCTCAATTGGCCTAAAATGGTGACACCTGTTGTTTTTAGCTCCAAGTAGAAGGTTTCAGCACCGTTCAGTGTTTGGATGGTATGCACTGCAGACGGCCAGGCGCAGAGTTTTGCAGTTGGTCTCACCGGTGTGTGTGAGCAGGAGGCGGGGGAGTGCGGTGGGGGGGGGGGTAGATAGTCAACAGTACGCCCCTCGGGGAGCATGAACAAATAGTATGTAATCCATCACTTGGGCTGCAACCGTATCGTTGGGGTGTAATCGTTGGCGATAGGATCGTTAGTTTCAGAACAAGGGCCAAGTTATTACAAAGACAAAGTTTAAACGAGTGCATGTAGCTGAAGCAATTTTGCAGCGCACAACAGACAGTACGAGGAGTCTTGTTTACCAGTTGGATTGGACAGAATTAAAAACCGATAGGGAGGATTGAAGGAGGAGGAAAGCTCCATAAATGTTTCTTAGTGAACTTCTGATGCGGATGAAGTTTCATGTGTTAATTCACATGACGACTACCTTGAACGGTATCAGGAGGACTGAAGCAGGAGGGAGACGAATGCGCAGTCTGGTAACTGAGCCTCGGGAATACAGCGAGTGAAAGGTTGAAGACGGGACGTGTTCCCGATGGAATCTCCTAATCAGAGTGGTCGGGGCGAAGAGTGGCTCGGGAAGGAGCTCGTGTGGACGGAACAGCGGGTTCACCCGCAAGCAGGACGAGTCTGAGCGCCGCTGGAACACTGGAGCGGAGGAGCGGGGGGTGCTGCCTCCTTCAGTAAGGGACCCGCTGTGTGCTCGGGGACGGGAGCGGTGGAGGGTTGGTTGGCGCCTGTGTGACGGTGGAGGTGAGGGTGGAGATGCTGGCTCGCTCCCCCGTCTGAGGCTGCTGCATGGGTGTCAACATGGTGGTGGACGCTCTTTGCTGAGGATGCTTCTTTTAGGAGCGTTATCTCGTAGGTGGACTTGGGATCTCGAGAGTAGAGTTAGATGCCCGTGTCGAGTTTGCTGAGGGGGACGGGATTGTCGGTGGAGAGGGCTGCATAGCGGTTTGCCCAGATAGGAATGGGCCACGGGCAGGATGGTCCTCGGAAATCCGCGGGCTCGAAATCGTAAGCGGGCGCTCGGTGAAGAACGGAGGGTGGAAGCTGACGGATTTAACAGCCAGTGTCACATAGGAGCGCTCCGTGACATCAGCCGTGAATGCTGCCACCAGCGATTCAAAAGTTTGGATACTAGAGATTGTTTTTATTACTCTGCGGTGTACGACAGGATTCTTACGTAGCTTGCAATGTGGACGGTGCTTCTCCCGGAGTCAAGGTGAGGCGCTTATTTTGCAGGTTTGAGCAATTTATTGTATTACCATGTCTCCGTTAGTTGTGTTGCTCTGTGTATAGTGGGTTTTCCAGTGGGACTAGTGTATTTGCTGAACCATGAATTAAAAAATATAAAAAACCAGTATATTAAAAAAATCTGACACTAAAAAGCGCTAAATGTTGTTAACGATTACTAAAAGTGCACAGGCGGCCAGCGTACTGTTATTTGAATGCGTTGATTATCCAAGAAGGCTAAGACATTAAGACTTTAAAAATCATTAAAATAACCTTAAAATTGATTGAAACACACGGGGAGCAAAGCAGCGATTTAAAACGTGTATGTTGTCGCTGGTTTAGTTAGGGAAGTGCGGCAAGTTTAGACGTAATTGTCACTGAAATATTCTTTTTGGAAGACCCCCCAGCGAGCCGGGCAATACCGTAGTCAAAGCAAACTGGTGATAAATGCATCAGCGTCTCAGTGTTGCCCCGAGAGAGAAGGGGGGACTCTGGCGATGTTCTTTAGATGATAAAAATTAATTTTGAGCTGTTCTTGATGTGAGAAGAAAAGTCAGCTCAGAGTCAAAGATTACGCAGGTTTATCCCATGTGCTGATGATACCAGTGTGCTTGGAGTTTATGTAAAGTAAAAATGTAATGTAATGTGATGTTTATTTATATAGCGCATTTTAACGAAGGACACAAAGCATTCACAATGTCAGAGTTCAGATATATAAGAGCGTTTTTGGTACAAAGTTTTCTCTTGGGCTAGGGCAGATGGAAAACCTCAGTTTTGTCTGGTTGGCTGGAGAAGTTTTAGCATAGTATTTAGGTCTACAAATGCAGATAATAAAGCGAACATTGTCGTGGTGTCATAGGGAGACAAGGAGATGTAAGAAGGTATATCTGGATACCCTGTGAAGATTAATTCATGTCTCCTGAGGACACCGCCAAGAGGGAGATGTAAGGATAAAAGGACTGGACCTACAAGGGACAACCTGGGGGCAACCATGTGATTTCAGGGGATGAGAGGAGCAGGTATCCAACTTACATGAGGATATGTCTGTTAAATAAGAAGTAGTAAGTTATCTATATTTCTCTACCGCCTTCACAGAAGAGTAAAGTGGTTTCCAGTTTATTTTTGGGGCCCTTGTCCTCTCATCCAACAGAGAGAGGGGGCTGGGGTGCAGTACTTTTGTACAATTATTTAGTGGGGAGGGGACATGAACGTTGATCTCGCCAGACATGTAGTTCGTGCACTTCAAATGAGACTGGTATGAGCATAGTGGTTGGATTTCAGACGCGGGATTGTAAAAACACCATCTTATATGTGATTGGATAGTTGTCCGTTTCTGATGAAGTACTGTCTTCAACCCCACTACATCGAAGCCAAGGCTCCAAAGTTGCCAAATCCAGAATATTTTCCACCTCATGATTTTTTTTTGGCTCAAACGTCATCTACTCAACTTGGGATACCATGATAGTGATTATTGTCTTTTGAAATTTACTTCACAAGTCCCTTATGGAAAAAATATATGGGGACCACCATGGCAACCTGTGATGTGTGTAAACAGGAACACTGAACAGTGCTTCACCAAACTTGTACAGGACATTAGACTCTTATAACAATATATCACATAGAAATCTACATCTCGCCTCAAATTGCATTAAAGTGACCTCGTGTCTTAAATTCGATGTATATATCTTTATAACAGATTCGGGACTTTACGACCCCCATTTGGCTTCTTCGCTGTGTTGAGAGAAAATTGGAAGGCAGTGAGAACCGGCATCCTGATTGGTCGATTAAAATAATTAGGGGAAGGCGTTCGCTATGGGCTCGATACCATGACCATGTGGTTCAGCCAAACGCCTTTGTGGAGATGTCGGAATACAGGTCTGGCGGGAGCGGCTAGAAACTGACAGAGGAAACATTTCGTAAATCCCTCAAGACAAAACATTATAATATTTAAAAAACAGACTGTACGCTATAATTAGCAAAATCATAATAAACAAAAAGGCTTGGCATCTGTCACGTTCCCATGTGCTCAGTCTATATCCTGTATTGCTTTACATTTAAAGTTGAATAACAGAAATAAATAATTATGTAAGGTTTTGTGATGTTATTACCATATATTCCAATTGACACTTGTCACTTTTGTTGTACATAATTATTGTCACTTTATTGTACATATATTCTGCATGTAACATGTTTGCACATTTCCTCCCTTTGCACAATCTGAGTGTCTCTATCCATGCCAAATGTGACATGTAAATTTCTCCTATGTGAGATAAATAAATAAAGCAAATCTTATCTTATATTGTCTGGTATAGAAGGACATACTTTAATTCTACTAAGAAGACAAGATGAATCTTCCTAAACTGAATTAGAGCAGTGTTTGAATGTTGTTTGGTAAAAGAAAGAGTACCTGCTAATGAAAGGTTTGATGGCCTCCCCGGTGATGGGGGCCATGGACATCGGCATGGGCTCAGGCGTGGACAGCCAGTACGAGTAGTCGTTGCGAGAGGCAAAATTGCACACGTTGTTGATGTCACAGAACATGAATGGCATCGTACTGAAGCGACGGAGACAGCTGCCAGCCGAACCTGGAAATCCGACAGTTCTTGGCTAAGTGCACAAACCAATAAACTCCCTGTATTTGGTTCAACATATTTCTTACTACATATTTTCATATTATACATCAGTGATCATATACTACACTATTGTGAGAAAGAAGAGGAATTAAATTATTCTAAAGTCAACAAATGCTGTAGGCCTTTTGCAAGGAAACTGAAATATAAGACGTGTGCCCCTAAGTAGTTTTGAATTTTGGAGGAGGACCGCCACTCCAATTTTGAATTAAAAAAATCTTTCCTGGAGACTATGGTCAGTGTCAAAAGTGTATTTCTAGTCTTAGTTGAGAGCTCAATTTTCATTAATTCCGGGATTAATCCACATTATACAAAACTGTCACAATGTCTTCTTTGTCAGTACATATCAATTATGGTCTCATTATATTCTCAAAAAGAGAACGAAGATTATTTAAAAAAATATGCAGGTTGTTGCCTGGACAGAATAAGAATAATATGACTGGTTTGTGAATCTAATCACTATCAAATAATGATTTGGGAAAATACTTCTTTCCCATAGAATTGTATTGGCACTTGCCCTCCAACTAAAATAGAATTCTAGAACGTGAAGGCCACCTATTGTGGTTTTGCTCATTTGTATCACAGACTATGTGTTTGAGGATCATACCCAGGTCCTGTCCGTGAGCTCGTTCGTTGCCCTGTACGTAGAGCAGTGAGTATCCGTCGTAGATGAGGTTACTTCCCTCTGGACAGAAGGGCACCTCTGTAGACTGACTGTGTCTCGCGATGAGGAAGCCATGAGCAGAAGACACAGATCCGGGCTGACCAGGCTGACCCTGAGGCCCATCTGAACCAGTAGGACCAGGCAAACCACGAGAACCTGAACCAAAACACACAAGGATGGTATGATGGCACTTTTAAACTAGGACTATAGGACAAAAGAACAGAATATCTATATAAATACTATAAACCACATAGACACATAGGAGAAGGCAAGGCAGGACAATGCATACATCACACTAGAAAGAAGTGGACATAATTGAAGTGTGTACGTGTATTTGTGCCATGGGGAGGTGTACACATGTGTGTTTGTGTGTGTGTGTGTATTTGTCTCAGTGCCTGTGTTAGGTGAAGATCAAATAACGATTTGTTATATACGTATATATATACACTGTGAAAAGTCTTGAAAATGAGAGTGTATTTGGACAATGTCAGGTCAACAGTTGGATTAAATTATACCCACGCTTTACTGTTTCACTTTGGTTTCACCTTTGCACTATAATGTCAATGCAGAAGTAGCAGCTGATGTGTTTACCTGGCTGTCCGGCTGGGCCAGTATCTCCTTTCCTGCCGGGTGGACCACTGAACCCGGGCGTTCCCTCAGGACCAGGATCTCCAGGCTCCCCCGGGGCTCCTGCATTCAGAAACACCAACATGTTACATTACACTGAGCACTGATTTACAGTAGATGTAGAACAAAGTGATTTCCTGCACAGACGTGTGCTCTTAGATGCTTTTACCTGGAAGACCCTCTCGTCCAGGGTTACCAGGTGGACCGCGACCTCCATTCAAACCCTGAGGACCAGGAGGACCACGCTCGCCCTTTACCATGATGGGGGTTGGAGGGACACCAGGGTCACCGGGCAGACCTGGGAAAGAAAATCACATTATCAATCATTTAGCTGAACAAATCTACAGTAAGTGTGATTATGTTACATAGACAAAACATTGGCCCTGCACAATAGAGGGCAATCAAATACTGGTAATTTAAAGTATTATCAATTATCAATAAATTATCAAAGGTTTTTTCTTGTTGCACCTATAATTATATTTATTAAAATTAGGGCTGTCAAACGATTACAATTATTAATCGAGTTAATTACAGCTTAAAAATTAATTAATCGTAATTAATCGCATTTCGAACTATCGGCAAAACGATGCCATATTTTTCTGTAACTGATCATTTTTTTAATGGAAATATAAATGACAACATAGTGTACAGTATTTCTTTATTATAACAATAAATCCACATTAAATGGCATTAAAATTATTAACAGTCTTTCTGTAGTAGACACTATTTTTTCAGCTCGACATATTCCGCATCTGCTAAAGCCTCCGCTTTCTTCTTTTTCTCTGTCTCATAAAGGCTGTGGATCCTCTTCATTATCGTGCCTCTACAAACTATTGTTTGTTACAGGGATGAGGGACATTTGTAAATAGTCTGAAATGCATGTCAGCCAATGGCTGTCATTAAATCTGTTTGATTTGCTCACAACATTTCATTTTTGGGCACAAAAAACATGAAATGGTAGTGCAAAGGAAAAGTTAGGTACCCCAGCTTTAATTTAGCGTCTTTTTTTTGCTTCGGGAGAAGACACGGGGGGGACGGACTGTTTCTTGCAGCGCTGTTTTTGTTGTGTGCACTGATCACGCACAGGCGTGACCTGTGCGTGTATATGGCCTTGGGTACATGGCCACGTTACGGCTGCGCGCTCCCGAGTTGTTGAAAGCCGCTCACAGCTGCTGGACGCGGGAACCGCTGTCCGAAGCAGCCGCAGCTTCCCCAGAACGCTGGGGACTCTATTCGGATTCTATAATTAAAATACAATATGGTTCTACATTTAATGCAATAACAATATTAACTTTGAGGACCTGAAAATGAATATTGGTTCTAGCTGGTAAAGCTTCTTTCTAATATACTGTATTCTTATTGCAATGTAGATAGAAACCAAAACCTCACCAAATCTGCAAACTATTTAGGAAACCCAGAAAGTTGAGGATTCGTGACCTGAATCTAATTCTTGTCAGATTGTTCTTCCCTAAATGAGAGCAGCCCTTCACCACAAATATACTGTATCTGGGCTAGAAGAGGATAAAAAAGTAAATTAAATCGGACATGATAGTTATTCAATTATATAACTTACCCATGGGACCAGGGTCTCCACGATCTCCAGGAAGTCCACTTCCACCAGGAATTCCAGAATCTCCTTTAGGTCCTGGTAAAAAAGCACAACACACATGTCACTTTTCAGTTGGGTTTTCATTAAAAAGTGTGATTAAATACAAACCAGGGAAACCAGGAACACCGGGTAGACCCACATCACCCTTCAAGCCAGGGCCACCAGGCAAACCAGAGGGACCCTGGAAGAAAAGTTCAGTAATCAGTTAATTTAGTTGATTTAAATAAGGTAATTGTCTGTACATTTCTGGTGCTGTACAAAATTATAAAACACTAACAAAAACATAGTTTCACATGGTTTTGATCAAACTATGTTGGCATAGATACCTGTTTATGTTACTATGTTAATAAGTAATCGCCATATTATACTAAAAACATGTCTATACAGTTGCCTTAAATTCCTTAATAATAAATGTGTTACTATGCTGATGAATTTTACTATTTGATACAAAAAAAAAAAAAAAAAAATTAAACCGAATAGGCACCAGCATTTTAATTTTTTTTTATTTGAAGTCATCTCTCACCGGGAAACCAGGGGTGCCAGACTCTCCTTTCTGCCCGGGGAAGCCTGGTGATCCTGGGGCTCCGGAGATGCCCTTCTCTCCCTTCACTCCTCCAATGCCTGGAGGACCACGAGGACCCTGGGGACCGCCAGGACCTTCACATTCACAAGAACGAATATTAGACCCATTCGCAAAACACTAGAGCAAAAATGTATGGGTACCAAATTGCTTTCTGCAACAATAGATAAAACGTACAGCGATTTCTAGAACATAAATATGAAAACTTTTCTTTTCTGAGGAACTACAAGTGCTCTGCTAGCTCTTGTTTGATTAGAGTTATGTAGCAGATATATATATCGGCTGTGGGAATGTCAAACTTTGACTGCAGCTTGTAAATAATGAATGTTTCAAGCTATAAGACTCAACTTATGTGTTGTTTATGTTCTGAACCTGAACCAGAACATAAACAAGCAGAAATGTATGGCCAGAAACAAATCTTTAATTTAGGTAAGCTACCATATTAATTGTTTAAATAGTTTTATACATAGTTTAATATTTATGAAACAAAAATATCCCAAGGACCTACACAAGGAGATTGCATTAAGCCATTCTGTTGTTAGAATCTGACCAAATATAACACTGGTTGATCAATGGTTGAGAACAGAAAGATTTCCCATTTCAGTTGGTACACACATACAGGAGTATGGCTGAGTGAAATGTGCAAATAAAACAAACAAATCAATGTTACAGAATAATGAACCCAACGTGATAAATAAATCTGGACACAATATATACACATACATTCAAAAACCACTGGATCTAACCTGGTGGACCTACGGATCCAAGTATTTCCGGTAAAGTAGAATCGTATTGAAGGCATGGGACACAAAAGAACCAATTGAGACAACACAGCAGACTTACAGGTCAAATAATGATAATGCACTATCATTACATACTATTAATTATATATGTGATAGTGATTACAGTGAGTGATTGAAAGAATGTAGAAATAAAATGTTTAGAAGTCCTTTATTTTGAAATATTTCATTTTTATTTTACAATTTACCTGATGCAATAAAACCGACCAGAAGTGACAAGAAACTGTTTTTTAATCTGTTTCTTGTCCTGGTACTTTACTTTTCTGCTTATTTCGCCTAACTTCAATATAATGTATGTTTCACTTTTGACTTGTACTTTTACACGTTATCTTCAGTGGGTGAACCCTTTAATGGTTCCCTCAACCATTTGGTAGATCGCCCTTTGAGTTCCTGAATCTAAAATAAGCATGCATGGAACTGGAATCTTACTTTTGGAGGCATCTGTTTTGGTTTTAGGCAATTTTTTGCATCAAACAACTTCTCAACCATTTGGTAAAGGGCTTGAATTAAACAAAAATAGAGTTAAAAAATAATAATAATAAAACCATTTGTGATAATATTGCTCGTATTTCTTAAAAGGTCTATGAAAGAAAAGAAAACATTGCTTTCTTCAAGAAGTGAATGTTTAAAGGTTTTTAATGACCCCAGTTCTATTACTTTTATCAGAGAAGTTTTTTACACCTACTTCAGATTCAGATTCATTTATTTGCCATTTGCAGTAAAACCACATTGGAAAAACTGTGCAAGACTACCCCGGTGTGCACCGGTGTGCACAGGGGTAGCAATGTATATTAATACTTTTAATTAATATACATTGCTCTGTTTCCACTTTCATAATACTCTCCCACTTTGTTTTAAATCTAACTGGTGATGCTTATTCCAAGGAGAGAGACTGGTTTAAATACGGTATTACATAATATATAGTTTATGTCTTCCTAAGTTAAATTATGAGATATAGTTCAAATATTTAGATGAATAAAGGACCGTTGTGCATCTGTGCAATGTGAAATCAATGTGAAATATCTGAAATATCAAACATGCTTTATGTTGTTACAAACAACTCATGCTTCTATATTCTTACTGTGAAATTTACAGGTGCTTAATTGTGTAACACTGTATCATCATGGAAAGGTGAAAGAGAAATAAAGATTTGTAAGAAAAAATAGTATGAGGTTTGATAAAGTGCAGTGATCAATATCAAAGTTTGTGAATTTGATTATTTCCCCTTAAAAAAGATTAAACCAGTGTGCTGCAGGCATTGTGCTGTGGAAGTCTTCAACACTCTGACCTGTGGGACCTGAGACGACGCGATGACATCACAGCGAGGGGGCGGGACCACGGAAGAACAGGAAGTCAACTTTATAAAAAAAAAATTCTCCACACAATGCTAATGAATGAACAATACTGACAGCAGCGATTAGAAACCAAAGCAGGTCAAATCATTTTCTACATTACCATAGTTTTCCTGGTAATAAAATATAAATGTTGAGGATGTTGAGCTTAAGTTCTGTCTTCTGCATTGGTATGGTCCATCCATGTTTGCAATGTGTTTACAATCTTTACAGTTTGCATTCTTAACTAAAACAACAAAAAGTGCTCATGCAGTTGATAAAGTGGCACAAACTCAATTTCCCAGCACAGCCAAAGAAAGACTTCAAAACTTATAACAGATCATGTTTTTGTTCAGAGAAAAAGTGTGTGACATCATTGAGTTGCTTATTGTAGAAAATATATTTTTACGTTATTATAAGTTTTAAAGGATTGGCTTTGCTATTTATACATGTTGATGACAAACATCAGACGTCTACTGCAAATCTGAACTGTGAGGAACAAACTATAGTTTCCTTTTGGTGAAATGAAAAGTGCCTGAAAGTGGTGGACAAACCCTGGTCCAACCAGTGTTTCATTCTCAGACAGTGACCGTTTAACCCTTTGTGATCTTTGAAATGTTCTTGGTGGTTGATCAGAGATGCAAATCATGCAAATCAACAGATGTCAACATTCATTTGTTGTCTGGTTTTAGTCATAGTCGATTTGATTTTTTTTTCATTCAATACTATTTTGAAAACAAACATTATATCTTATTACTATATGTATAATAGTACCATATTTGCACCATAGCTTTGATGATGCTTGATGAAGTTGGATTGGTACATGGTTCAAAAAGTTTGACTAAAACCAGACAGCAGCCAGTTTCGCCTCCTGTTTTAGTTCTGTACCTGCTCGTCCTGGTGGTCCGGGAGATCCCTGAAGTCCTTTTGGTCCCTGCACAGGTATACCCGGAGGACCGGCAGGACCGCCAGGGCCTGGGGAACCGGGGTTACCAGGGAAACCAGCTTCTCCTTTGGGACCAGGGAAACCAGGAGAACCCGAAGGACCAGGCAGACCTGGGTCTCCCTTTGCACCTTTACAGATACAAAACAGCTTTGAATATAACCTTATCAACACTTGGAGAGAAATTGCATTGACTGACCCGATAAACCTGGAGGGCCAGATGGACCAGGACCACCAAAACCAGGAAGACCTGAGGAAGAAAATAATCCATTGTTTTCCTTACGAATATATACAGCAAAACTGATGTAACAGATGAAGAAAGGTTTTATTTCTATGATTACTGAAGAAGACATGGAACTTGTTTATTCTTGACAGAAAGTTGAAAAATCACTTCCTGCTGTATATGTTTACAGATGGATGTTACCTGGTTCTCCTTTGACTCCAGCTGGTCCTGGGATGCCGTCTCTTCCCGCCTGACCTTTCTCGCCAGGGAATCCGGGTCCACCTGGTCGACCGGGCTCACCTGGTCGTCCTGGGCCACCATTAAGTCCAGGTCCCCCAGGACCTCCATCCAGACCTTTGGGACCAGGGATACCGGGAGAACCTGAAAAAGGTTTGTAGTTTAGTCACTCAACAAGAGGTCACAATATTAGGAGATAATGCAGGTGTGGTGGCAGTTCCAACCTGAGTAGGAGCACACCAGAGTCCTGCTCAGGTTAGAACTAAAACTTGCAGCCACACCGGCCCTTTAAAGGTACACTGTGTAATTTGTAGTACCATAAGATAAGATATACTTTATTGATCTCACAAAGGAGAAATTTACCATCTAGCGCTTATATTTTCTTATATTGCAGTCCAAAGTACTACGGAAGCCTTTGATAGAAAATATTTTTCTTTGACAGTGCTCCTCAACTCTCAGTCATTCACCGACTGCCAAGGAAAGAATCCTTTAGTTTGATAAATGGCCGGGTCTCTCCAAACGTCTCGGGCACTTGACAGTCACGTGGAGCCTGCACAGAGGCTCTACAGAGTTTAACCATGGATCTACTATAATATATAGTTTTACAAACGCGGTGTGAAGAGAAGAGACGCATGGAGGATTAATGTCTGCGGGAGCTTAAAACTACGGTGATCCGAGAAGCAGGACATATATTCTCATTATTATCAGTGTGAAAAAGTTACGTATTGTTCACGTGTGAGTCTGTTGTGTACAAACTACACAATGTGCCTCCTGTTGTGTTAACGCTGTGTTTCGGTGCGTGTGGTTTGCAATGTTGACAGTTTGCTGCTATGACGCCGGACTTTTGCATAATTATTTTTCGAAAAGATTGTTGTTCGATTGTTCTTTTATATAACTGTGGTCCTCCATGATTCTTTTATATAACTGTGGTCCCCCATGGTTCTTTTATATAACTGTGGTCCCCCATGGTTCTTTTATATAACTGTGGTCCTCTATGGTTCCTTCTTCAAACTTTTGAAGGCACGGTGAAAGCAACAATATCAGTAGCTCATGTGAAACAAAAATGCGATTCTTGCATTCTTTTTGTCCCTTATCCATCCGCATTGACATGGAGAGAACTCTGCTATCATGGACATGTATAAGTTAAATTCTAAGCCTAGGAATACAATTCAAAAAACAGAGTGAAGGTAAATATTCTTAAAAAGGTTGCATTTGTTATTAGTTAACAGGTTTTTTCATATGGAGCAACTGTAAAAATTACACAGGGTGGCTTTACGGACTGCTCTAGAACAAGCTTGTTCCTAATATTCTGACTTTGGACTCATATTTCTTCACCTTGAAATCCAGGCAGACCGGGGTCTCCTTTGGCTCCTGGACCTCCGGGTAGACCAGGCAGACCGGGGGATCCGGGGGTACCTTTAAGCCCTGGGGTTCCTGGGTAACCAGACTGCCCTGGTTCTCCCTAAACACACAAGATCATTTGTGCATGACGTTTGTTCTAATGAGATCATTATCTAAAATCCAAACCAGTTTCTAACCTGGTTTGAATTTTGCTCAGTTGCATGCGTTCCTTTTCTCTCAGGAACATTGTTCATACCTTGGGTCCCTGGAGTCCTGGTGGGCCCACTCCACCTGATCCGGGTTCACCTTTGCCTCCAGGGAAACCAGGACTTCCAGGCTGTCCAGGACCGCCAGGCCGACCAGACAAACCGGGAACACCTTTTTGGCCAGAGGGGCCTGTTGCCAATCAAAGCACCACATTAAACTCTGTGTGTGTGAAGCTTTTTAAGGGTAAAATTATTTGTATTCAGACCTGGAAATCCCATTTCTCCCATAGCTCCTTTGGCGCCGGGTATCCCTGGTCCACCAGGGGCTCCTGGAATACCTGGGTCTCCTTTGGGACCTGTGCATCAACAGCAATATTAGTGTACAGACGTTCCCCATTCATAATTCACACTCACTGTATGTATGTAAGGGCGAGCTCTGAAAAGACAATAAATCATCATAAAACAAATTGTTCTGATTGTCCTTTACCACATCATGTGCCCATGCAAAAAAATGTGCCAAATCACTAATCTGTAAAAAACTTATGATATTTCTGGCAGTAGTAAGTTTGACAAAAGACCAAATTACAGTAGATGACAAGACTACAGTGCATCAAGCTGTAAAGACATAGTAAAGTGGCTACATATTAAATATCTGTAAAATGGAAACAGAAATGTCTTAAACTCTATTTATGCAATTTGTGTAACTGTAACATGACTTACAATATTTAAATGACCATAATTAGAATTTTACTGCATCCTTGAATGCATTATTTATTTTAAGTCTGTAGCCTGGTGTACCTGAGGGTCCTGGAACACCGGGTCGTCCATCAGATCCAGGGAGTCCAGGGTCGCCGGGGAGACCAGAGATGCCCTTTTGTCCAGGTCCACCAGGAGAGCCTGAATATTATAACACAGTGAGTAAAACAAACTCTTCTTTCCAAATAGGCTCTCATACTGAGCCGCACCTGGCAGGCCTGGTTCTCCCTTCTCTCCTTTTGTCGTCACTGAACTGGGGCTCGTTCCTGGAGCTCCTTGGAGTCCAGGCTCTCCTCTCTCTCCTTTACCTCCTGGAGATCCTGGAACCCCATCTCTGCCGGAGAATCCAGGTTCACCTGGAAAAGACAGATTCAGGTGTTTTGTTTACATTTTCTTTTAATCTATTTAGAAGTTCAATCTATGTACCTTTAAATCCAGGACCACCAGGTCCTCCTGGTCCACCAGGGCCTCCAGCAGGTCCTGGAGATCCAACAGGGCCCATATCTCCTTTAGCTCCTGCACAAAATCACACCAGAAGAAATTAAAATGAACTCAATATGTCTAAATGTCTGAGAATAAAGACGCTAAAGATAAACTGATTACCTGGCAGACCAGGTTGGCCATCCCGTCCTGGGCCTCCAGGGGGCCCTGGTTGTCCGATTGGTCCTGGAGCGCCGTTAAAGCCTGGAGAGCCTCTGTCTCCGGGCAGACCGGGGATATCCAGCCCTGGGGGGCCAGGGTCTCCCTTGGCACCATTTCCTCCAGGGTATCCTATTATAAATTGTGATTGCATGAGACAATATTAGGCAAGGCAAAGGCGAGGATATCATCACAAAACATAATATTACACAGTTTAAATAGTAAATTTAACCAAGAAGAACAGAATTTTTTTTTTACTTGTAGGCACAGATAAATTGAACTTTATTATTTCTAAACTTGACTTGAGCTTAGAAGCCTGCAAACATCTGATTCTGGGCACTAGCTGGAGGCCAGTCCATGTGCTCCTCAGAGTCCGAGTTGGTTAATATGGCACTAACATGTCATAGATGATCTCCATGGTCTTTTATGTGAGGCCATGGAGAGACTTCCTGGTTCTAGTCAGGACTCGAGCTGCAGCATTTTGAATATACTGCAACTGTTTTACATTCTTTGGAGAGACCAGTGAGCAGGCCATTACAGTAGTGTATGTCTAAGTCAGCTTTAGACCTTATTTTCTATTATTACTAATTATATTATTATTTCTCTTAGATAATTATTTCTATTACATTAATTTATGTATATAATTGTCAGTTGTAGATAATGTAGACGATGTGCCCCCCTTTCAGGGTACAATACCTCTGTTGCCTTGGCATCAAACCGTCACAATAAGGGAGTGGTGAGGAGTGCAGGGGGCGATGGGTAAAGTCCAAATGAGAGGAACAAAAATATAATGCATTAAATGCATTTAAATCAGGTTTTCAGCTTTGGCACTGAGGACAGGAGCAGGTGCGCAGGCCTGTGAGTTGTGCTCTGTGTGTTAATACTGTGCTCTCAGACAAAATACATTTGTGATGTTACAGGTGCTCAGTGACTCAGAAAGGTGTATATAAATCCTTGTGAAGACGTGTTTGAATGAAGTGAAGAGTATTAACCACATTTAGTGAGGCTCCTCATTTAGACAAACCAAAGAGAGGACTAATCAGTGACAGCGCAGATAACAGCATTTCACACTTAAAGTTAGGAAAATACCATAAGTATAAGTTACACATATAAAATATCAAAAGGTCCCATATTAGGTGTAATTATTACAAATATACAGTATATGCATAATATATTGAAACAAAACAACAAGACATATTCTTTGTTGATTTGGTGAGATGATGAGAAATGGGATTGTGTAGATCTCAGAAGTGTTTTCCGAACTGGCAAAATCCATTAAACATCCAATAAACATATAATATTAACTTGCCTGACCGGTATTTATATTTCAGTTCACCTGATTGATCAAATTGATACTCCCACTGATGTCTGTAGTTGTCCCCCTAGGGCAAGACACTAAACCCCTCTTTGCCTGAATCCCCTACTGAAAGATCAAGGCTGTGCAGGCCTGTGGACTCACCACCTGCAGCAGGATCAGTGAGGGGCTGGTGCTCAGTGAACTGGGTGCAGCTCTGACTGCCACCTCCCCCCCAACCAAGAAATGGATTAAGGGGAAGAAAATGGATGGATGGATGGCCAGTCAGGGGATTGTATCCAGGATGTATAGAACTATAGTTATATATGAAACTTTTAATTACAAACAAAATATAGGACCTTTAAATATTATGGTCAGAATCATCTAAATAGCTCTTAATGTTTTCTTGTTTTACCTGGAGGTCCAATCGGTCCAGGTGGCCCTGGGGCTCCTGGAACTCCGATTGACCCAAGAGCAGGAGGTCCAGGTGGGCCGCGAGCTCCGGGGATACCAGGCAGACCTACTTCACCTACGGACAGAAAGAAACAAATCTATTTGTTTCTATTTTTTTGGCCACTTGCACTTAAAAACAAGAGGATACAATATTATCAAACACATGTTACTGAACGGATATACAAAGAGATTAAGATTTTAGGAAGAGAAAAATCATGGCTTTGAAAGGAATGTACAAGAAACCCTTACCTTTAGATCCAGGGCCTCCATCAAATCCATTACGTCCAGGACCACCCGGGCCGCCAGGGAAACCTGGGTCTCCTTTAGGTCCAGGAAAACCCTTAGATCCTGGAACCCCCGGCAAACCTGCAGGACCAGGCAGACCAAAACCAGGTTCTCCCTGTGCGAAGCAGCAAAGAATAATAACTTATTACCAGGGAGCCAAACACCAAATCAACTTTTTTACGTATAAACTGCATAAATATGGGTCTTAGTGTGCTCTCTACATGACCTGGTAAATGTTTGAAATTTTTTGTGCAAATTAGATAACATTTTGGTGGCCCTAAATTAGAATTTGGTGCCTGGCCTCTCCATTGACTCTGGAGTGCAGTGTGAAAGTTTTTGCGCCTATGGTATAAAAGCAGCAAAGTCTCACACACGCCCTGTAGCCAGTTGGAATATTCTAGCGAAATCTAGTGGTTTCCATTTGAGTTCTACGTCATGGTGCTACGCCCCTCAAGGCTACGCTATGGGTATGACTCTTGAGGCACCTAACCTCCGCCAGAGAGATCGAAGATCCGATGCTCCAATCACGAGCGAGCTCCTCCTACACCCCAGCTCAGGCCTGCACCTGCCACTTTGAACTCTGGTGCCGAGAGATCACTCTACTCTTAAGAATCGAGATGTCGCTGCCTTCTGCTGTTCGTCCGAATTCCCCTTCGCCCTCCGGCGTCGGACGAAGAAGGTGCAGCGCTCACAGCGGAGGAGGACGGGGAGGCAGGCGTTATTTCAATAAAAAAAGAGAAAACCCCCATATGATGTGTGAGTCTCTTCTGTTACTGCATGGCATGCCCTCACAGGTAGATGGTGTTGTCTCACGCTCAGTGCAGTCCCACTCTGATGGCCCTGGGGACTTGCGGGCTCAGGGGAGAGACCTGCAGCGGTTGGTCCAGACCGCTGGCCCGAGTACCTTGGCCACGAGCGCTTTATCCTCCCGGAGAGGAGTAAAGCGGAAAAGTCATAAGGCTGATATAAGTGTGACAGTGGGTCCGGTAACCCCCTCTGTCACCCAGCACCTTACACGGGGGCTCTCTGCCCTTTGGGCCACCCCCCCTCTCCTCTGGAGCACCAGGAGGGGGCGGGGCTCTCGGGACAAGTGCTCCGAGCCCTGTGCCCCCGCTCACAGACTTCTACCACGTCTGGAGAGAGCAGGGGCTTCTCTCAGACGCATGGTTGGAGAGGACGATGCGCAGGGGTTATGCCCTGCAGTTCACACGGAGGCCGCCGCCGTTCCAAGGCGTTCCAGCGCCGCATTCCCTGGTGCGTGGGTCAGAGGAGGCGCTCCAGCTGGAGGTCTCCTCTCTGCTGAGACGAGGCGCCGCGGTCAAAGTGGACCCGCGAGACGCCTCCAGGGGGCTGTACTCCCCGTACTCCCTGGTCCCCAAGAGGACAGGAGGAGTGCGCCCCGTCTTGGACCTGCACATGTTAAACGAGTGCATTTCCAAGCATCTGTTCCGCATGCTCTTCACGAAGCAGCTGCTGGAATGCGTCAGACCCGGAGACTGGATGTCTTCCATAGATCTGACGGATGCTTACTTCCACGTAGCGATAGTGCCAGAACACAGGCGGTTCCTGCGCGTCGCCGTGGGAGGACGTCTCTCGTTCGGGTACGCGCTGGCTCCCCGCTCCTTCTCCAAGTGCATGGAGGCGGCCTTGGAGCCGCTCAGACGCGCAGGGGTCAGGATTTTAACCAACATAGACGATTGGTTAATTCTGGCCCCGTCCAGGGACGTGGCCACAAGTCACACGCTGGGTTCTGTCTCACATACAGCGCCTCGGCTTTGTGGTGAACAGCGCATGATGTATCTCGATCTGCAGCTGGACTCGGTGGGGTTCCGAGCTGCATTGTCCGAGGACAGGCGAGGGAACATCACCCGCCTGGCCAGGGAGGCGTTGATTGCTCCCCGCTCGGAGCCTCAGGTCGCTCCTGGGGATGATGGCGGCGGCCCACACGGTGGTTCGTCTGGGCCTCCTCCACATGAGAGGGTCTCAGAGGTGGCTCTCCCGCCTCAAGCTTCACCCCTCACAGGACGGGGGGAGGCTGCTCGGGGTTCCCCCGGCCGCAGCGTTGGACATCAGGTTCTGGCTCCCCCCGGGCCTGATGCAGGACGGGGTGCCGTCTCACATGTGGAGGTGTTCATGGACGCCTCACTCGAGGGGTGGGGAGGGGTCCTAGGCCAGAGCTCCGTAGGCGACTACTGGTCAGACCCGGCCCGCCACATCAACCTGCTGGAGATGGAGGCAGTGCGCAGGGTGCTGCTGCACTTTGCCCCACAGTTGGAGGGGAGGCATGTGATGGTGCGTTTGGACAACACCACGGTGGTGGCATATCTGAAAAGGCAGGGGGGCACGAGGTCCCCCGCACTACATCGGTTGGCGGCAGTCATTCTGCTCTGGGCTGCGGTGCATCTTCAGTCTCTGAGAGCACGCCATGTTCCGGGAGACCGGAACACAGGGGCAGACATGATATAAGGTGGTTCTGAGGGGCCTATCGGGGCCGCCTTTTGAGCCGGTGGCTCAAGCCAGCCCGAAATGTGTGGTTTTCAAAACTATTATCTTATTCTTTTGGACGTATCAGAACGGTCAGTCGCTCACTCTGTTCTGAGCGCTGGGAATTCATGTGTGGACCGAGAGGTGCTCTTGTTAGAGGCAGCCTGCGGTCTGGTGTGTGTGTGGCCGCCCCATTCAGGAGCTCTTGGTAGAGGCGTCCTGGGGCTGCCTGTCCTTGGTTCCCCGTTGCCCTTGGTTCCCCGAGGGCGGCGTGGCGTGCTGTCCCCTTCAGGAGCTCTTGGTAGAGGCGTCCTGGGGATGAGGCCTACCCTTTCCCACAAGGGCAGTGTTACAGTGTTCTTCGGGCGTCCTTGATAGGAGCGGCCCTCAACTCTGTGGTTCTTTCTTGTCCTTGGACAAAGTTTTCAGTGTGCTTCAGGCGTCCTTGATAGGAGCGGCCCTGCATCACTGTTTATACTCCATTTCCTGCTCTGAGCCCGTTCACCTGGGTGGTGTTGTGGGAATCTCGGGCAGGGCTCCAATCACTGTACGCTGGCCTGCTTGGAGTACATGGCCCTAAGGAGCGTAGCGCCATGACGTAGAATTATTAGTTACCTAATGTAACTGTTGTTCTACAAATAGGTGCGTAGCCCTTTAGCTACGGGCCCATCCGGCCGGCCTGGCTTTGGCAGAGTTCAAAGTGGCAGGTGCAGGCCTGAGCGGGGCTATTTATAGGAGGAGCTCGCTCGTGATTGGAGCATCGGATCTTCGATCTCTCTGGCGGAGGTTAGGTGCCTCAATAGTAATACCTATCCGCAGTACTACAGTTACATTAGGTAACTAATAATTACATCTGATGAGAGCCACTGCTGCTATAATTCTGTGGTTTAGGTACAGATGTCTAGCTTTACAATTATCTTAGAGTGTGTCAACAAGGGGGGAATGAGAATTTTTGTTGTGTAACTTATGGCTTTAAGCAGCAATGACAAAAGTCTGATTTTTTTTGTTTGGGCCGCTTCAGCGGCTTTACTCAAAGATATTTTTTATCCAGAAAACTCATTTTGACTGCTTCTACTGCATCTGTGTTTGTCATAATCAAACCAGATAAAAGACAAATACAGTATATCCTTTCCAATCAAAAAAAATTCACTTCCACCACCACAACCACCACCAGTGATGAGCACAAATACACTTGAGTTTGAACAAACCTTAGGTCCAGGGAATCCAGGCTGTCCGGGCAGTCCGTCCACTCCTGGTCTTCCTGGTCCTGCGGGTGCTCCAGGCTGACCAGGGATACCGGGAAAACCTGAATAGTGTACAATGAATTGTTTTTATAAAAATGAAACATAGTTCCGGCTGTTCCCATAATAATCTTCCACAAAAAAGTTGATGTCAAGACCTTTAGCTCCTGGGGGTCCTGGAAGCCCAATTCCTGGGAGCCCAGGGTCTCCCTTTGCTCCTGGTGACCCTGGGAAACCGGGCTGTCCAGGCTGACCAGGAGATCCTGTTAACAGAGTAGATATTAATATAACATTAATGTGTCTTATGCGATTGCGCAGTTATATGCTTCTCCTACCTGGGGAGCCAGGGACACCAGGCTCTCCATCTAAACCTCGTGGTCCTGGGAGCCCCTTCTCTGCAATTGTCAGACCTGATTCCCCTTTGGCACCTGGAGTGGGCAGGGAGGGGCAGAAATGAGCACCTGGAGTCTACGGGTCAATCATGATTTTAGTGTGTTCTCACCGGGAGCACCAGGGCCTCCTGGTCGGCCTGACACGCCCTGCACTCCCTTCTCTCCAGAGGGGCCCTGGGGTCCAAACCCGGGGGGCCCTGGAGGACCTCTGTCTCCTGGGATACCGGACAAACCGGGTTCACCTGGAAGTCCACGCTCTCCTTTCACCTGAAGAGAGCCCTAAAGCAAGAAACCCTGGATTAGATAAACTGCTAAATGTGTTTAGAACATTTTACTGCAGTGGTTGAGTGTTCAAGAAAGGATCTGTTCAACTTTGGAAATTTGTACTGAACAAAAATGTAAAAGCAACACATTTTCAGCTTAAAGCTTAAATACGCTACACTTATGTTATCAAATATTGTTCGAGGAACACTTTTCCTTTGCAGAGATAATTCATCCCACTTCACAGGTGTGGCATATAAGACACTGGTGAGACAGAAATAGTATTGCACAAGTGCCAGTTTTATTACACAGTATCATGCATAGATAATTTGGTTTGATTGTGAATTAGCATTCTGACAACCAGAATCTCCACCATGTGACTTGAATGTTCATTATCTTATCATAAATTGTCTCCAAAGTACATCCAACCAGCCTCATAGCAGCAGAGCAGAGAACAACTATAGTTCTTTGCATAAGAGAACAAGTGAGTTCTCTGAGACGAGTTTTGCTGAAATTAAATAATTTTTTAAAAGGGTTTGGAGTTCAAACTTTAACTGCTGGATTCAACTGGAAGGGATAAAAATTAATCTTGATCGTTCACATTTCCAGCAGTTGGATATTTTGACACAAATTGTGTAAAATCCAGATGTTTCAGAACAGAAAAGACCGAACACTGTTAAAACCCAAACATCACCAGTATTTTCTATATAGATGTGGTGTGAGTGACCCGTACTGAGGCTCCTTTAGCTCCAGGTGCTCCAGGTGATCCATCTCTGCCCGGCCGTCCATCCAGACCTGGTAAACCAGGGGCCCCAGGGAAACCTGTGTCCCCCTTCTCTCCCCTCACACCGCTGATAGATACCGCCTCTCCAGGCTCGCCCTTCTCTCCTGGATACCCAGCAGGTCCCGTAGGTCCTGGAGGGCCCTGAGGAGACACAGGTGTCATGTGGATGTGATTCTTTAATTCATTATAATGTTATTGTTAAATGTACTGACTGAAGCTCCTGGAGACCCTGGGTTTCCTGGATATCCACTTTCTCCTTTTTGTCCTGGTCCACCGGGACCACCTGAAGAGAGACGAATGGAGCTCTGACTTTGACAAACAATAATAATAATAATAATAATAATACATTTTATTTAAAAGCGCCTTTCAAAACACCCAAGGACACTGTACAGGCATAATAAAAACATTTAAAAACAGGATAAACATAATAAAACAGTAGTCAGGTGCAATATGGGATGGTGTGTGTGTGTGTGTGAGTTAGGAGGGTGTGTGTGTGTGTGTGTGTGTGTGTGCGCGCGTGTGTGTTAGGTGGGGTAGGACAGTCTGAACAGATGGGTTTTGAGTCGGGATTTGAAGAGTGGAAGAGAGTCAATGGTACGGAGGTCAGGGGGGAGAGAGTTCCAGAGCTGGGGGGCAGAGTGGCTGAAGGCTCTGTGTCCCACAGTGATGAGTCTGGCTGGGGGGACGGAGAGTGTGAGGGTGGAGGAGGAGCGGAGTGTGCGGGCAGGAATGTGAGGGTGGAGGAGGTCAGATAAGTACGGAGGGGCCAGGTTGTGAAGTGCTTTGAAGGTGGTGAGGAGTATTTTGAAATTGATGCGCTGTTTGACAGGAAGCCAGTGGAGTTGTTGTAGTACGGGGGTGATGTGGTGAGCTGTGGGGGTCCGGGTGATGATACGAGCTGCAGAGTTTTGGAGGAGCTGCAGTTTCTGGAGGGATTTGTTGGGGAGGCCGAAGAGAAGTGAGTTGCAGTAGTCAATCCTTGAGGTGACGAGGCTGTGGACGAGGATGGCGGTGGTGTGGGGGGTGAGAGAGGGGCGAGACGAGAGATATTGCGCAGGTGGAAGTAGGCAGACCGAGTGATGTTATTGATGTGGGATTGGAAGGAGAGTGAACTGTCGAGGATGACACCCAGGCTCTTGACTTGAGGGGAGGGGAGGACAGATGTGTTATGGATGGAGATTGAGAAGCTGGTAGATTTGGAGAGAGTGGAGGGGGTGCCTATGAGAAGGACTTCAGTTTTTGAGCTATTGAGTTTGAGAAAGTTGGAAGAGAACCAGGAATGAATTTCTTGTAGACAGAGGGTGAGGGAGGATGGAGGGAGAGAGGAACATGGTTTAGTGGAGAGGTAGAGCTGGGTGTCATCCGCGTAGCAGTGGAAGTGAATGTTGTGACGGCGGAGGATGTGACCGAGTGGGAGAATATAGATGATGAAGAGGAGGGGCCCCAGGACAGAGCCCTGGGGCACACCAGCAGAGACAGGAAAAGTGCGGGATTTGTGGGATTTGAGATGAATGAACTGTGAGCGACGAGAAAGATAGGAGGTGAACCAGGCGAGGGGGGTGTGGGTGATGCCGATGGAGGAGAGTCTGTTCAGGAGGGTGGAGTGAGAAATGGTGTCAAAAGCTGCAGTGAGGTCCAGAAGGATGAGGATGGAGAGTAAACCGGAGTCAGAGGCTATGAGGAGATCGTTAGTGATTTTTAGAAGAGCTGTTTCGGTGCTGTGGAGGGGACGGAAACCAGACTGAAATTGTTCGTAGATGTTGTTGGTGGTGAGGTGGTTGTGGAGTTGAGCAGCGACAGATTTTTCAAGTATTTTGGAGATGAAGGGAAGGTTTGAGATGGGACGGAGGTTGTTGAAGTTGGTTGGATCCAGGCCAGGTTTTTTGAGAATGGGTGAGACTGAGGCGGTTTTGAATGAGAGAGGGACAGTACCAGAGGTGAGAGATGAATGAATGATATTAGTGACAAGGGGGGCAGCTGAGGGGAGGCAGGATTTGACCAGAACGGTAGGGAGAGGGTCGAGCTGAGAGGTAGAAGGTTTGGATTTAATGATAAAGTCGGAGATGGCTTGGACGGAGGGCAAGATGAAGCTGGAGAATGTGGCTATGAGGGATGAGTAGGGGGCTGGGGGGTCCACTCCAGAGACTGCAGCTCCATGCGGGGTCAGGTGTTGGTGAATGTCAGAGATCTTGGAGGTAAAGAAGGACATGAGTGAGTTACAGAAGTCAGTGGATTGCATATGGTGAGGGAGGGAGTCAGGGGGTTTGGTTATATTGGTGAGAAGAGAGAAGAGAGTTTTGGAGTTTTGATGATTGGAGTGGATTAAACCGGAGTAGTAGGTGGATTTGGCAGCAGAGAGATGGTCCTTGTATAGCATGATGTGGTTATTGTACATTTGTTTGTGAATGGTGAGTCCAGTTTTATTGAAGAGCCGTTCAAGTTGACGTCCTTGGGATTTGAGCTGACGGAGGGCAGGGGTGAACCAGGGTGCTGAGAGCGTGAAAGAGACGGGTCGGGTTTTGAGAGGAGCATGATTGTTCAGGAGGTTATGGAGAGAAGTGTTGTAGTGGGAGACCAGGTCATCGGGGGAGTCATTGGGATCAGTAGTGGGGAGGTTATTGATATCTGAGGCGAAGGTGGCAGTGTTTATGCCCTGAATTTTACGGAAAGAAATGGTTCGGGGAAGGATGGTCTTGGAGAGGGTGAGGTTGATATTGAAGGTGATGAGCTTATGGTCTGTGTATGTGAGTGTGTGAGGTTTACAGTCAGTGGGAGTGAGACCAGAGCAGCAGATTAAATCCAAAATGTGACCTTTAGTGTGGGTGGGGAAATGAATGTGTTGTTGTAAACCAAAACTATCTAAACAGGAGGAGAAGTCTTTGGTGAGAGGGTTGCTATTATTGTCCATGTGAATGTTGAAGTCCCCAAGTAGTATGACTGCGTTATGAGAGATAGATGAGAAGTGTGTTAGAAGGTGAGAAAAGTCATTTAAAAAGTCCTGATTAAGTTTTGGCGGGCGGTAGATGGTGGCAACAACAGTAGGAGAAGGTCCAGGCAGCAGTGAGGCAGAGTACTCGAAGGAGGAGAAGACAGGGGCAGCAGGCACAGGTGTGACTTTCCAAGTCTCGCGGTGAAGCATCGCGAGACCTCCGCCCCGGCGGCCACAGCTGCGGGGCTGGCAGATGTAAACAAACCCCGGTGGAGTGGAGTCGTTCAACGCGGCAAAGTCATTTGGCTGCTGCCAGGTTTCGGTCAAACACAAGAAGTCCAGCTTACGGTCGACGAGGACATCCCGGACCAGATGGCCCTTGGTGTTGAGGGAGCGCACGTTGAGGAGACCGAAGCTGACGGTGGTGGAGCTGTTCTTGGCTGCCGCGGGCTGAGCCGATCGGGCCACGCTGACCAGGACACTGTCAGCGTCCCGACCAGCGGTGCGGGAGCAGCGGCGAGTGGTGGACCAGAGGGACTTTATTGAATGGGAGTCCTTGTATTGGAGCTTACGGCGTGATCCACGGTGAACGTACCGCCGCCGGGGCTGGAAGGCGATGCCCGGGGGGATGTCATGTCCGCGCTCCGGTGGCTGAAGAGGAGCGGGGACGTGGTGCCGAAGTTTTAAAAGTTCAGCAGCGGAGTACTGGAGGAGAGCATTGGCCTGCAGATGGACCAGGGACACGATGAGCCAGATGACAACAAGCCAGCGCGTTATATGGCAGACACACATCGTTTCCCAGGAGGGGAATACGACAGCCAGGGGTCCCAGGTATGAATATGTCCAAAATGCTTATGACAACAGCAAACTGTGGTTGATATCGAAAGCAGGTAAACAATCCTTAAAACACAACGTAACCACGACATCCAATATTGCGTAAACAATGTTTTAGTCCGTGTTTGTTCAGTGAGCAGCGGCTGCCAAAGCGCGCCAGCGTTCACTCACTGAACTCTCGCGAGACTGAACAATGCCAGCCAATCATCAAAAGACATATACAGTGCCTTGCAAAAGTATTCATTTTGGCATTTTGTGTGTTTTGTTGCCTCACAACCTGGAATTAACATGGATTGTTTGAGGATTTGCATCAGTTAATTTACAGAACATGCCCACAACTTTGAAGATGTTGTCTTTTTTTATTGTGTAGCAAACAACAAATAGGACAAAATAACAGAAAAGGTCAATGTGCATAACTATTCACCCCCTAAAGTCAATACTTTGTAGAGCCACCTTTTGCGGCAATCACAGCTCCAAGTTGCTTTGAATAAGTCTCTATGAGCTTGCCAGATCTTACCATCAGAATCAGAATCAGAATCATTTTTATTGCCATGTAAGTAACAGGAGGTCACAGACTTGGAAATTGCTTTGGCTCGGTGCAACAGTCAGAGAGAGAGAACAAAAATAAAATAAAAAGAATAAAAAACACTTAAAATAGAGTTACAATTACTATACACAATATCCAGTGCACATGGTGCACACAATGTAAGGTGACAGTACAGTACAATACAGTGAGGTAAAGTGACTTATGATGGGCAGTAAAGTGACATTATAAAGGGCAGTAAAGTGACTTTATAAAGAGCAGTTGGGGACTTCTAGAGGGAGGGGAGGTTAAGAAGTGTTCAAGTGTTCAAGAGTCCAACAGCATAGGGGAAGAAACTGTTCTTATGGCGGGAGGTTCTAGTCCTAATGGACCGCAGTCTCCTGCCTGAGGGGAGTGGTTGGAATAGTCCATGTGCAGGGTGAGAGGGGTCGGCTGTGATACGACCAGCCCGGCCTCGGGCGACGTACAGGTCCTGCAGCAATGGAAGGCTGTGGCCAATCACCTTCTCTGCAGAGCGCACGATGCGCTGTAGTCTCTGTTTGTCCCTGACAGTGGCTCCAGCGAACCACACAGTGATGGAGGAGGTGAGGATGGACTCGATGATGGCCGTGTAGAACTGCACCAACATCTGTGCAGGCAGCTTGGCTTTCCTGAGCTGCCGCAGGAAGTACATCCTCTGCTGGGCCTTCTTGATGAGGGAGCTGATGGTCGGCTCCCACTTGAGGTCCTGGGTGATGGTGGTGCCCAGGAAGCGATAGGACTCCACAGAGGTGATGGGGGAGTCCATCAAGGAGGGTGGGAGCGGGGGGACAGTGCTCTTCCTGAAGTCCACAAACATCTCCACTGTCTTCTGGGCGTTCAGCTCCAGGTTGTTACCACAGCACCAGGACACCAGCCGGTCCACCTCCCTCCTGTAGGCGAACTAATCGTTGTTGGAGATGAGTCCAATGAGGGTGGTGTCGTCCACGAACTTGATCAGCTTCACGGAGTTGTGGCTGGAGGTGCAGTGGTTGGTGTACAGGGAGAAGAGTAGGGGAGAAAGAACACAGCCCTGTGGGGCTCCTGTATTTATAATCTGAGAGTCCGAGACATTCTTCCCCAGACGCACTCGCTGGGATGTTTGCCCATTCCTCCTTGCAAAACTGCTTCAGCTCCTTGAAGTTGAATGGTTTGCGGTTGTGAACAGCAATCTTTAAGTCTGACCACAGATTTTCTATTGGATTGAGGTCTGGGCTTTGACTAGGCCATTCCAACACATTTACATGTTTCCCCTTTAGCAGTGTGTTTGGGGTCATTGTCCTGCTGGAAGGTGAACCTCCGTCCTAGCCACAAATCACGCACAGAGTGGTACAGGTTTTGCTCAAGAATATCCCTGTATTAGCACCATCCATCTTTCCCTCAACTCTGACCAGTTTCCCAGTCCCGGCTGCTGAAAAACATCCCCACAGCATGATGCTGCCACCACCATGTTTAACTGAGGGGATGGTTTTCTTTGGGTTTCTTTTAGTCTCTTCAGACCAGAGCACCTTCCTCCATACATTTTGGAAGTCACCCACATGCCTTTTCGCAAACTCAAAACATGCCATTTTGTTTTTGCTGAAAGTAATGGCTTTCTTCTGGCCACTCTGCCATAAAGCCCAACTCTATGGAGCGTACGGCTTATTGCCGTCCTATGTACAGATACTCCAGTCTCTGCTGTGGAACTCTGCAGCTCCTCCAGGGTTACCTTAGGTCTCTGTGCTGCCTCTCTGATTAATGCCCTCCTTGCCCGGTCCGTGAGTTTTGGTGGGCGGCCGTCTCAGGTTTGCTGTTGCGCTATGTTCTTTCCATTTGGTTATGATAGATTTGATGGTGCTCCTGGGGATCATCAAAGATTTGGATATTTTTTTATAACCTAACCCTGACTTGTACTTCTCAACAACACTGTCCCTTACTTGTTTGGAGAGTTCCTTGGTCTTCATGGCAGTGTTTGGTTAGTGGTGCCTCTTGCTTAGATGTTGCAGCCTCTGAGGCCTTTCAAAAAAGGTGTGTATATGTACTGACAGATCATGTGACGCATAGATTGCACACAGGTAGACATCATTTCACTAATTATGTGACTTCTGAAGGTAAATGGTTGCACCAGAGCTTTTTATGGGCTTCATAACAAATGGGGTGAATAAATATGCACATGCCAATTTCCAATTTTTTCTCTCTGAAAAATAGTTTTATATGTTTTTTTTTCTCAAATCACTTCACCAACTTAGACTATTGTTTTCTGATCCATCCCATGAAATTCAGATTAAAAAAACATTGAACTAAAGGCTTTAATGTAACAAAATAGGTAAAATACTTTTGCAAGGCACTGTATGTATACAAATGTATTGCATATACCTGGGAACCCACGAGGTCCTGCTGGTCCTGGGAGCCCTGGTAAACCAGAGCCTCCGAAGCAATTGACACAAGTATCTCCTTTATCACCTGCAGCACAGAGTGACATGAGTGTCAGGGCACGTTCTATAGACACACTTAAACATGTTTTATGTACCTTTCTGCCCTGTCTCTCCAGGGTAGCCCCTTTCTCCCTGCACTCCAGGCCGCCCTGGCTCTCCTGCGAGGCAGTTCTGTCCGGTGGAGTACCCCGGGGGTCCGGGGGGGCCTAGCTGTCCTTGGGGTCCAATGGAACCAGGGCGTCCCGGAGGTCCTGGGAGGGAGATGCCCGGGACGCCTGAGTCTCCTTTCTGTCCTCTCTCTCCGGGGAAGCCGGGAGCTCCTGGCGAGCCGGCCTGTGTGGCAACAGTCGATCCTGGGGGTCCGGGTGCTCCAGATAGACCTGAGGGAGAAGAATGTTTTATGACGAACTCATGAACACACAAAGATTACATAAGTAAGTTGCACTGTGATTTTATTTTAGGAATAAATATGTAAATATTTCATTATGTGGTATTACACATTAATTTTACAATGACAAAGCACAAACCTTGAGGTCCTCTATCCCCTTTGAGTCCTGGAGATCCAGGATATCCTGGTTCCCCTTTGGGACCAACCCGACTTCCAGTCTGCCCTCCAATCACCTGAACAAAAGTGTCATCAGTCATAAAATATATCACCTTTGAGTAAGTGTCGTTGTTATAATCTCTCAGATGAAAAAACTCATAAAGAACTCACTACTCCTGGAGGTCCTGGGTATCCTCTGTCACCTTTTATACCCTGAGTGAAAATGATTAATGAATGCATTGTATAATTGCATAATATGAATGAGGTAATAACACAATCCTACTCTTTCTCCGTCACGGCCTGGTGGACCTGGAAGGCCTGAGTCTCCTTTGCTACCCTAAAATCGTAACAAGCATTAGATCATTCATAAAAGGCTGATGAGAAAATACTACAAACATATTTTACTCACAGGGAAACCAGCAGATCCAGGGTCACCATCTTTTCCGGGTTTGCCCTGAAAACAAAATAAATAAACCACTAAAATCCCTTATATTTTTGTGGTGATCACAGGCTACAGTGAAGCAGCCACCTCTGGTCACCTAGAGTCAGTCCATGGTGGAAGACATGGTCATTGACAGAAGGAGTTTGGTCAATGCACTGCTTTATTGCTTACACCAAAGTGACGTTTTGGACATGAAAATACAACATATGATCCTATATTTATTTGAGGTCTGATGATACTCTCATACTGGTTATGCGTTGGCTTGTATGTTCAAAAATCAAGATTATAGAGCAATAGAAATCTTGAATCCTTTTAAGTATATGGGTTGCAAATGCTTATTCTTCCATCTATACATAGATAATGGAAAACAGTTTGTGAGGATGAGAAGTCTGCTACTGCTGTGGCCATGGTAGGTTTGTGTATGTTTAAAAATCTAGATTTCTTAACTTTGACACAGTCACATTTTTTAGGAAATGTTCATACTACATACAGTAAAGTAACACCATTAGTGCATTCATAAGAAATGTATTGAAGTTTCATTGTTGAAAACAAGTTTTTTAATATCTATATAATAAATCTATATTTTTCTAAATACATATCTTTTTTCTAATCTACAAAAATATATATTTGTCAATAGTTGCTGTATTAGTTATTTGTTTCAGTTGTCTCAAATCTCAGAATAGAAATTATATCTAATTAAAAAATGTCAATATTCATTTATTAAAAACATTTTTTAACAGAAAAAAGTAAGAATTATACATAGATCCTATTCAAATATTGGCATATTTTCAAATTTGCTTTTTTGTGAGTTTAGAGTACGAATTGATCCGGCTAATACCTATTGTTTGAATCGGTCAGTGGCAATAAGTAGATTTAATGTTATAATTAAAGTTCAGAAGATTAACACACATGCATTAACACACAATGCAAATAGAAATAGGGGTCAATATTCTCACTCTTTTGCCTGCTTCTCCAGCTTCTCCTTTCTCTCCCTTCGCTCCGCCAGAGGGACCCTACACAGGAAAGTACAATTAATACTGTGCTATTGAGTCAAGTTCTAGACATTTTCTGCAATGTATATTAAATGATATCATATGTAAACTTACAGGGGATCCGGGGAAACCTGGATCGCCGGGAGGGCCTGGTGGTCCTCGGTCTCCCTAAAAACAATCAATAATAATTTTAAAAACGTTTTTGTTTAGTGTTGATATTCAAATGCTGTCATACTACTTCATACAAGACACACAAGCAAATAATTTTAGCTAATGCGTGACTAGAAATATTTTATTAGAATTATAAACTCAAGCACTAGAACATTATTTAGAGTTCAAAAGTTCCCATGTGATTTTGAAGAAGACTGTCATCTGGTGGCTGAAAGAGTTCATTGCAAGCTCAAGAAGTTAAATATCTTAACAGTTCCCTCTGCTGGTTTCTTAATACACTGTAAATTTACAACAACAAAAAACCCACATTTGGAATCCTTCTCATCACAGATAAATATTACATGATGAACTTGTCGGTATAAGGATGAATTCAAAATATTTGTAAAGGGTAGAGACAAGTATCTGGTCCTTTACTCATTGTAGAGGGAACTCTACTCTACAGCCAAACATTAACTTGTCACATCTAGTGCAAACATTTAAATAAAAGAATGAAAACTAACAATAATTCATGTGAAGCTGATATCACAATTCCTACCTGGGTGTGGTAGTTAATGTTATAGATTAGGACTCAATAATGATATGGAGCTCTAGTCATTAACGTTTTTGGTTGAAATTATCATAATAAACTCATCCTCACCTTATCTCCTCTCACAATCTCGGCGTCAGTTGTTCTCTTCTGCTCTCCGACTTGTCCCGGAGACCCAGCGGGTCCCTCCAAACCAGGGTCACCCTGGTTACAGCACACAGAAACAGCATTTTTACATCAAACATTGTGAAAAGTGTAAGACAAAATAAGGATGCAAAACGTGCAAATCTCACCTTTTCCCCTTTAGGTCCTTGGAAGTTCAGCCCCATGTTTCCCTACAGAAATAACACATGAGATGAAGTACTGATATTCCTATTATACCTGCGGCAGACATACAGTTTAGGACTCATCAAAGAACCTGTCAGCAAAACCATTTGAATGGTCAGGTTTTATAAATCTTTGCAAACTGTGTAAATCGGAACTCTGCTCTGACGGCTAGAAAAAAGATGATTGCTATCGGAATACATAATGAACTTGTCGGGAAAAGTCGCCAACCCACTCACAGGGAATCTACACAGTAGGAGTTACCGGCGCATAAGCGTTGATGCGCGCATACTGTATGCAACACAAATTACATGAATGTGTTTGTCCTCACACAACAAGATTCACTTCACACACACTGACGACAGAAGCAAGCAGTGAAGCACAAGTGCTAACAAGTGCTAACCGCCGTGACACCTTATCCACCTAAAACTATCCAGGACCTGCTGATGTGTTTTTTGTGTTTTATTCATCTATTGTGAATATTTGATTAGAAGATTTTTTTTTTAAACAAAATTAATAAAGATACATATGTCCATATAATTTTCTGATATACATTTAATATAGTTTCTTAAAGTCACAATATCTTACATTTGCACATACAATGCATAGACTTACTTTAGGGCCAGGGGCACCGGGAGGACCAGGAGGACCCTAAAAAACACAATTCCAGTCACTTAAACGTCTCACAATTATTACATAATATAAAGTTTTATAATCGTTTGTGTAGACAATATATGAAGAACTTTACGTCGTATCCCCTCGGTCCCTGTGGGCCGCTGGGACCTGACAGGCCCGGTGGTCCAGGGTTTCCCTAAAATCACGAATACAGTTTAGTTGCGAGAAAGGATGTACTGACGTGTTGCAAACATGTCTTTGGACACTTTTTAACGCATGAATATAGAACAAATAGAATCCCCTTTAGATTATTCTAAGTCATTTGAGTGCGCTAAAAGACAATAAGGAAATATTAGAAATTGTTTAGTAGAAATTTTGAACAAATATTCTGAAATACCCTAGCTAGTGTCCACTTTATTAGATTATTGCTTCATCAGATTTCTTTTACAAATCTTGAAGTTGTTATTTTTATTCTGAAAGAAACAAGACAAATAGAATATTGAAAATTGTATTGCAATGTCTCCAATAGATTTCCAAAATCTCAAAACGAGTAATCACATGTTTACATATAGATTTTGGGGAATGCAGGGGAATGTTAAAAGTACTAAATGCAGCTTGAACCATGTACATTTATGTCTACTGTAAAATTATATTTAATTAGTGGCAAATTGTCATAGCAGCAGTTCTGTCTTTGCAGGTCTCACTTACAGGAAGTCCAGGTAAACCAGGCAAGCCAACAGCCCCTTTCTCTCCGAATCGGTTGGTCGAGATCACATCCCCTGGGTCTCCCTGAACACACACAGGAATCAGTATTGTTTTTTTCATAGGAAGTCGTCTTTTTCAACATTATGTCTAAAACTGAAAGAACTCCTTTGCTAATTGATGTGAATGGATTATGTGCCACTGTCTTTCGAACCATTGGACTAACTGAAACCATCAATCACAATGTAGAATGATTTGAATGTACCGGTCCTTATTTCTTGATAACGGACCTCTGAAAAAAAGAATGGCCGCTGCGCAATTTGTGCTTCTAATTCACGTGTGTCAGATCACTCCGCAAGTAGTCCGGCCACTTCATCCACTCGCTTTCAGCGACACCATGTGGTAAAAAAAAACATGAGCGAGAGAAGCTGGGGGAATCGCTACTGAGGTTAACGGGAGTCCGACTTTCAACTTATCCAGAGATACACCACCAGCAGCTAGTTTAATATACATACTGTAAGTAGCTAGCCTAGCTGTTACTCGCCTAGCCACGCTAGTGTGGCCACACTGCCTGTCTGTTCAGTTGGCAGATAGCTGTATAATAAGTGGTTAAATAAGTACCTCCGCTACGTTTGCCCTGTCTGTACTTACTTTCTGATAATGACCTGCGCTCTATAAATGATCCCTTATATATTTTATATTTTCCAGTTTTTAATCAAGGGTTTGCAATAAACCATATCACAGAAGAAAAGTTCTGGTTTGTTAGATTTGTTCTCTCTGCTCTTGGCGAGTGACTACGGTGAGAAGTTAATTGATTATTAAAATCAATGTATTGAATGAATCTAAGACAGAATGAAATGATTTGTGGTTATAGTATATGTTATAGTTATGTAGTTATAGATTTATGAAGATGTTCTCCAGGGGCAACAACAGAGCATTTTTTTTGGGAAATGTTTAAAAATCACTGTGCTTGTGGGATCTAAACAACTAATCGATTAAACGAATGATTTATTTTGTTTTAATTTATTTCATTTGATTTTTTTCTTTGCAGATGCAGGGATTCCAAGGGCTGGGAATGATCCTTTATAGACAATGATATTGTTATGATCCTAAAGGACCAATGACCTTGAACAATTTGTTGTTGAATTTTATGTGTGAGCTGGTTATTTGATTTTCTAATCTAAATTTTTTTCTACAAAAAAATACATTGAATCCTTTCTTAGGACTCACCTTAGATCCAGGTAAACCAGGTGGGCCCTAAAAAGAATGGGGAAATTGCTTGTTATTGTCAATGCAGAGAATACAGAAAAACAATTACATAATTCTTAACAAAAATTACTTTACCTGAAGACCGGGAGCTCCGGGAATACCTCCAGATCCTGGGTAACCCCTTTCACCCTAAACAAAACAAACAAATGTTAGTAGGGCTGAGAAAAACATAATTACGATCATTTATATATATTTTCTTATGGAAGTTTGTATACACATCAGGAATTGTCGAGTCAATCAAATGTTTGTTTATGGAACAGTTCGTTCAGTGTGATTCCAATTGCTTTCTTAAACTAGCTCACGCAGTAACTGAAATAGTATTTCCTTTTAAGGAAATACAGAATGTTTCTGACAGTAGGGCATTCTACAATAATGTAATGTTTGTCAGTCTTTTTTCATTTTGCATAACTAAGATTTTCTGGGGGAGAATAACCAATGAGTATTGGCTTTAAGGATTTGAACTTTTTTTTTTTTTTTTTTTTAACCTTTATTTAACCAGGAAAATACCCATTGAGATCGAGATCTCTTTTTCAAGGGAGTCCTGGCCAAGAGGTCTGTAGCACACGTCACAGGCACTTTACAGAGCAACAGTAAAACAATACAATAATAATACAATACAATAATACTACAAAGTACAAACAGTGAAACTACAAAACATGTACATGATCAAAAATAAAAAACTAAAGGCAACTATATAACACGTTAAAGTTTAAAAGCATGAGCACTTGGCAATGGTTGAGAACTGTTTTAAAAAAAGAAGTGAACGAAATGCGTTTAAAGACAACAATTTGGACCACTTCAGATCTGACTGCAGACTGTTCCATGCAGCGGGAGCAGAATACCTAAATGCCTGCTTTCCCAGCTCCGTCCGGACACGTGGAACAGTCAGAAGGTAAGAATCATTGGAACGTAAACTGTAAACTTATTAAATCCAATCATGAAGCTACGGGGGTGAGCATGGGCGGGTCTAACCGGTGCTTGTCTTCAAAATGTTTCATTCTCTCCTCACAATTTGAAGAGTAACTTACCCACACTTTAAACAAACACTAAAATACATACAGATTACTGATAATTTAATGCAATATAGATCTGTTGGAAAACGCACCTTTGTTCCATTGCATCCTGGAATTCCCCTTGGTCCTGGTGCTCCATCATTTCCAGGCAAACCCTAAAGAAAAGCAAACTTATACCGAGTAGTCTCAACTGTATAGCTGAAAATAATGGATTAATTCGTGAATCTTAGTGCAAAATTGTGAAAATGTAAATCTTACTGGAAGTCCTGGTGTGCCTGGGAAACCTGGTAAACCGGAAGGCCCCTGGAGAAAGGGTCAAAGTTCAAGTTATTAGGAACATCAGTGAAGGATTTACGACATGGCACAATAGAGACATCTAGTGGCCTTAGAGGGAATTACATAAAACAAGTGGTCTACAAGTGGTATACCGTGGTCGCCATTAAACCATGAAACAGCCTCCTCCTCTATGGACACACTTTACAAACCTTGGATGAGATTAAATCAAAGATGAAAACTCACTCACTTTTACTTTGACGTGGTTCTGAGACACTTAGTTACTTCAGTTGCTAAATGTATATTTGATCTTATGCATTTGTAAATATTGTCTGTACAGAACTTTATAGGCAAGTTTGACAATGACAATTATTTTGCCAAATAAGATGGGTCTGGAACATATTAGGACCGGAATAGCCAAGTGATCTCAATATAGTATTTGCCCTAACAGGAGCAAACATGTTGCTAAGATGGTTGCTAAGACAAGCTGGAGATTCCTCCACAAATAAAATGCATCTGATTAGGCAATCCTTATGTAGCTCATATTTGCATTTCAAAAGTCTAAATCAAATTAAAACGCACATCACAGAGAGCGCTAAACCATGGATCTGTCAAGCACAATATGGGGAGAGTGAGACAATGGTTACTGAGCCAAGAGTTTACTTTTCAATGTAAGTCAGTAGGAGTTACATGGAGCATTGCCCATCTATTTACAGTCTATGCTCTAGACAGGGGATGCTCTGTGATACTTGTTCTTTTGACTAATTTCTGTGTAAATTGGTGAATCTGCTAATCTGAATAGGGTTTACATGATTTGTTTGGGACACAAAGTTCTGTTGTGATAATGGGTTTCATGAAAATGCAGTAGTTTTAAATCAAATCTTCCCACGTGTTTTTTACACAAACATGTGAGATTTGAATAAAAGTAACTTACTCGAATTCCCTTCGGCCCAAACAGTCCCTGAGGACCATCACTGCCCTGGAACAACAACAGACAATCATCAGTCCAGCAGGTGGTAAGAAACATTCAAACTAACAACTTTATTGTAACTAAACAAATAGGTTTAATCCATGGAGTTCCTGCTATATTTTGTACCTCTAGTTAAACATTTCGGTGGAGGGAAACTGACAATTTTCTGTGGTAAATTTGATAACTGCCCAAAGTCAGATTTCTATTCTTAGTTTTGTGCCAATTTTGGAACAATCAACATGAAATGAAACAAAAAGTGTCTCACAATGTTCCACATTCTCTTTGACAGTACATATTAACTATGGTCAGATAATGTTTATATAATAATCCAATATCATATGCATGATATTGGCCAGTAGAAAGAACTTTCAGTTTCAAAATGTATTTCAATAATTGATTCTTTCCCATTGAGTATTAGCACCTCCAACTGAAAAATAATTCTAGAACATGAACCTATTGAGACAAAATTATACCAAAATAAAGAGAGTAAAAATACAAATAAAACGTTATAGAGAACAAATAATTAGCTATTATTTCACAATAAATATTGTCTCAGTCATCAGTGATTGAAAAATAAATTGATATTGTAACTATTGTAATTGGCCAAAATAAATTACTTGCAAAATGCCTTTATTACTATATGGCAATCTAAGTCTTTTGAATACAGAGTAGTGTAGTTGTTGTGGATTTCTGAATAAAATTAAGTATGCAGTTTTTTCAGTTACTATATTTGCCATTATAATTACAAATAGGTAAATATAATCTACTTTATTATAGTTTAGACAGGACAGACTCTTTGACAGACCTTCTCTCCTCTGGGTCCGATTGGCCCCTCTGGTCCTGGGAAACCAGGGACTCCGGGTTGTCCAGTCAGACCTGGGAAACCCCTCTCACCCTGAAAACAACCATAAGAATATGATATCAAACTATTTACAATAAATTATAAATAACTTTATCAGCTACTAATTTCAATTCAATTCAATTTAATTACAGACTTCAAAATCTTACAGACAGACAAGAAAAAACAAAAGACAGACTTTAAAGTCTCCACATTTGACTGAAATTGTGCGGCAGTAAACCTGCTGTTTGCACTAATATTACATGTTAAGCATACTATATACACTGTATTTATATATTATGCATTTTATTCACTAAAATAAAGGTGAAATATTGCCTCAGCAAGGAGTACCTTAGTTCCTTTCACTCCTGTGCAATCACATTTGGATCCTGCACACCCGCTACATGCCTGTAAGATAAGAAAAAACAACACTTAGTACAATTGATTGATAGCAGATACAGTCTTTATCATAATACCGTCCAACTCAGCAAGTTCAGCAAAAAGTGTTTTCAAGCAGACAAAAGATTGTGGGGAATAATAAACCATGAGTTGGTTGTGCCCCGTTCATCCATTGCCATTAAGGTTAATACTATTCTGCAAACCTTTACAGAGGGCACTTTTTTCTTGGGCATTTTTATGTATGACTTATGTGCATCATTTTTTTATACTTCAGCTATGATTTACAGGCTTGAGGTAATTTTTTGGTGCTTCCTTTTTATATTTTTACTAATCCCAATGTTTTGAATTTTCCATCAACTTGCATCTCTGACATTTCCCCTCTTGTCATAAACTTGGTACCTAACATTGTAACTATAATAAAAATCAATGTCACTAGTTCCTGGCTTTAAAATTATTTGGCTCTGTCTCTAGTTTTTGCATGCATGTACCTTTCTCACATCTTTAGATCAGATTTTTCTAGACAAAAAAGTGAAAAAGAGAGGACCACCTTCACTTGGCCAACCAGCTCTCAGCCTAGAGCATCAATTAGTGACTCTTTCTTACAAATATGCAAATTTTAAAATGCTTTCAAATTTAATGAAGACAGCAAGTTGTGTTCTGATTTGATAACAACAACTTTTACAGGACTCTCAGTTGGGACAAATAACATGTGACAAAAGTTAGATACCTCGGCTTTAAATAAACATCACTGAAAGTTGCATAGAAAACCACTAGAGGGTGCTCAAGCATTGTGTAGAAGGCAAAGTTGGAGAGGATTGTCAAATCAAATATTCAAAGACAAACCGACAAGCAACAAGGTATGCATCATATTTACACAAAAGTACCCTGTGTTTTATAATTGACATAATATCTGTGGATCTAAACCAGTCATTATGGCGATAGAGCTTCCACTGCTCCTGAAAGTGGATATTTTAGTATTTTAGGGGAGGGAAAGGGAGTGCCAAGCTGATGATTAACTTTTCCACGACTGTTGACAATGTAAATGCCTCAACCATGCACGCGGGCATCCGGCGCCAAAGTCAACCACAACTTTCTTATAACTTTAATCACAAACTTTTATCACTTTCCCTTATAATATTACAAGCTCTACAATACAATAAAAACATAACAGCACTGTCCAAACTATATTTTGAGTTTATATATATATATATATATATATATATATATATATATATATATATATATTTTTTTTAGAAATAGGTTTGCTAGCGCGTTGTAAGCTAGTTAGCAAAAACGGAAAACAATATTAGCTATGCATGCTAAAGGTAGTACCAACATCTCCACCATCATAATTTAGCGAATAACTAGACTAAAAGGCCCAGAACACATTGTGAATGTATAAGTTATTAACACACAATTTAAAATACAAACCAACATGGGGAAATTAGAAGAAAATGAGATGCTAAAGTTAGCTTACTTTTACAGCTGTTAATACTAATAATTAACTATGTGTCTGCCCTCATGTGGATGAAGCAATTATTACAGCTGTACACTTTTCTGTAGTATTTCTTTGATTTATTTCTGTAGTATCAATTGTTTTCGAAAACACATTGATTCTGCATAATATTGTCAGACCACTTTTTATAATAGGTTATTAAGGGTCCCCTGTTAAACTCAGCTACAATGATTATTGTAATTTGTCAACCATAGCCCTCTGACTTTGTACATATAAATAGAAACAGGTGTATACACGACATCATTGGGAACATTCCTCTGTGTGAGGATTGAAGAGGAAGTATATACAGTTATAAACCAGGTGTGAGCCACAGACAGACAAATCCATTTTCAACAAGTTTTCAATTTACTTTTTGTAAAAAAAAAAAAAGTCTTCCGCAGAAACGTTACCTCTGAGCAATGCAATAAAACAAGACAAACAAAAATAAAACTTTCTTGCTACTTACCAATAATAATCTCTACTACTACTACTACTACTACTACTAGAGCTACTATCATTGTAATTGTTATGGCACTCTACAAACCCAAAAGAAACACCAAAAGACAACAACGATATCAGAGGCAAAGACGACTCATGAAGTACACTTTTTGTTTAATCCAATGGAATAAAGTCTTGTAAAGGCGACAACAAGCAGACTTCATCATTAGAAAACATTTTATCATTCACAAAGAGACCTGAGTGTCAATACATTACACTTTGGGCGGAGAGCAGGAACGGTCCTCATTTTTTCACTTTTCTGTCTGAAAAAGCTGTTCCAAAGCAGTGAACAGGAGCCAAATTCTTGAGGCAAAGTTTTGAGGGTTTTTAATACTTTGTTCTGCTGATTGTCTTGGAAATCTGTAAAACTGAGATTTAAAGATAACATTTTCATCAGGTTTAAGTGTTTAGAAATGTGTATATCTATATGATCTAAAAGGTGGCATTTTAAATATTACTATTACTATAATTATATTACTTTTTATAAAAGTAAATAATTGTGAACAAATCAAACCTTATGGTACTGTCTTATAATTATTAGAACACATGTAATCTTTTGCAAACATTAAAAAAAATATACATGCATGAAAACTAGTGATAGAGCCAAACAGTTTTGAATGAAGGTGGATTTTAATTGCATAGACCCCAGCTTTAAACTACAATAGATCTAAAAATGTGGAAATAAAGTCAAGTCAAATTATCTAAATTAATTCATTCTGACTTGCCAACTTGAGTAAGTCAATGAGACAGGTTTATAATATGTAATTTATTATGGTATTCGTCTTGATTTGCAGACAGGAAAGCTGACAGTATCCTGAATACATTTGCACATGGCGAGACTCATGCACATGGCCAATGCTCTAATGCGTGTGTTTTCATAAGCCAAGGATCTGCAAATTATTCTGGTCTGCTTCAGCTCAATGTGGCGCTCTCTCCCACGCCCAAAACGGCAGCGCTAACATCTCTCACATCGTGTTTGTATCTGTCCTGCATGGCTCTTTACAGATACAGGTACTTCTGTAAAAGGCTTGACTAAAAACAAAAGCAGGTGCATGAACATCGGTTATGTCTTTGATTATTGTTGTTGTAGAATGTGTTGACGACATGCTTTCACATTATTTGCTATGATTTAGTGACAATGCGAAGTGTAAACAGTAGAAAAAAATAAGCTATAAATGGGATTTCTCATGTGTATTTTAAAAGTACACATTAGGGTTGTAAGAAACGATTATTTTGATAATCAATTTGTTTTTTAGATCCCAAAAGGTCAGTGAATATGGAACTTGACCGAAATACAGCTCCAGCGATCCCCCTGGAAGACATTTTCATTGAATTCTGCAGTCATTATAAAATATTTTGAGTCATGTGCATGTTTAAATCTATGTAAGGTTCAAAAACCAATTAATCCATTCCCAAATTATTCAAATTATTTATTAGATGTGATTAATTGATTCACTTGTCACTAGGGGTGAGAACCTAAGGGTACCTCACGATACTATACGATACACGATACAAAGCTCACGATAACAATATCACGATAACAATATCACGATAACGATTTTATCACGATATGACGATTATCGATATATTGGTCAGAAATATACAATATGCCAATTTATGGCATAAATAAGAAAAAATACACTTTATTTCATGATAAATGGAATGGAGATGCGTAATGTAGCCAATAAAAAAATAATAATAATAAGTGTCACACCCCTACTTGTCACTACCCTCGTATGTGATCTATTCTAAAGTCCCCTATTGTTTGGAGGCTCAAACGAAGCAGAAACTTTAAACTTTGAAAATGGTAATTCTTGTTTATCATAGTACATCATGAGTAAGAAAAGTCATATTCTCATCATCACAACAAGCTGTCTTTATCTTATTATAAAGTATGTGATTTGTGCATACTTGGAAAAGAGCCCTGTGAGTAACTATTTTACACTTTGGGCTGATTGGCTGAGTGATGGTGGTCCTCTCTTTTTCATGGGTCCGTGAAAAAGACCCATGAAAAACTAATCCAAAGATGTGACAGTGGCTAAAAAATACGTGCATGTGAAAACTAGTAATATAACCAAACTGTTTTGAGCGCAAGGAACTAGTTATGGATTACATCACATGTGCTTTGAAGTTAGGTACCCCAGCTTTAATATCCCCTTGTGAATTAGATCTAAAATGTGCCCTTTTTTTTGTTCTAACCCCACAGATGAGCGCTGGTGGTTTGGAGTGAGCGGTGCCTTTCTCCAGGCCTGTAATCCACTTAGAGAGGTCAGTGAGCTGCAGAAATGTGCTCCTGCTCTGGGTTCCTCTGTCGTGATTCTGCTGCTCACCCATGGCCCACTTTTCCACCAGGTCTGAGGCTGGCAGGGGCTGGATAAAGAAATACTAAAGCTTTGCAATTATGCACTTTTAATTGCAATTTCAATTCAATCAATCAATATCAGGGTTGTCAAAAAGTCTTTCATTGAACGCCTTACATTGAAACTAAGGCTGTCAATCAATTAGATCGATAGATACAAAAATAATCAATTATTGTAATAGTTTACACGTTTAATACTTACACAAATTTGTAGTGTGTCCTGTATTGTTCCAAATAATATTGTTTTTAAAAAGCCCAAAGTCATTTAGGAATTGAATTGCCCGGCTTCAAATTGAAACATGTACAAAACATGTACATTACACCACTAACTAAACTAACATCAGCATTAGCTAACACCATGCTCCTAATATCACAGATAGATAGATACTTTATGGATCCCTGTAGGAGAAATTCAGGATCCAGACTATTGTTCAAAAGTTCAAAAATGTATCTCTGTAATTCAACTTAAAATACGAAACCAATATACCAATATGATTTTAGCTAACATCATTACCCCATTTACACTTAAATCACTGTCTCCCAGAACTGTCTGAGCAGCCTAAGACCTGGATCTATAGTCTGTCCATCTGTGGGAGCAGATTCCTCTCAATATGGGCCTCAGAGGTTTCTCACTCTTTTCCTTCTGGGCTTTTTTGT